CTCCCCCTAAATCTATTTTCAAAAAGACCCGTGTTGTTCGCAGTTGATCTATCAGTTCGTCGGCGCGGGGAATGGGGTATCGCGACTTGACTGTTACCCTGTTCAGTGCTCTGTAATCGATGCACATGCGAAACCCTTCGTCTTTTTTCGGCGTAACCAGTATCGGTGCGGCGAACGGTGACAAACTCGGTCGGATGAATTTCTTCGCTAACAGGTAATCAAACCGCTTCCACAGTTCGTTGAGCTCGGGCTGTGTCAGTCTGAACTGTCGCTGAATGGTTGGCTGTGCCCAGGGCTCTAGCTCTATTCGGTAGTCGGTGCTCGCTGAGGTGGCAGTCCCTCTGGTAAGTCGTCGAGAAAAATCCCCGGGTACCGTTTCAATAGTTTCTGCAGTTCTGGTGGTACCGCTGCTAGTAGTTTCTGAAAATCGCTCGACTGCTCTGCTTCTCCTACTACTGCGATATCCACCGCGTACACGTCAGGTCCAGCAGCAACAGCCCGTTTCATCGTTATGGCGTTGACGTGGACCGTCGAAGACTCGGGTGACTGCCAGCGAGGTAGCTCAACCCAGTTACCGCTACTTCGCACGGTGTAGCTACCCATCGTCCAGACGATTAGCGGGTTATACCATTGCAACCAATCACGTCCTAGTAAAATGTCGTGCCCATCCAATGTCGTCGCGAGCATTTCCTGTGTAAACCCGAAGTTCCCCCCGCAACGGACTTTTACACTCTCCACCTTTCCCCGTATGGCCAGCAGCGTGCCGTCAACTAAGCGTGCGTCTATCTCTGGTAAACACCGACTAAGTCTCAGTTGAAGTTTCCGTGCGGTCGCGGTATTAACTAAACTCTGACTTGCTCCTCCGTCGATAAAAATCTTCATTGCTGCTCCCTGTATTTTCCCGTGAATCAGTACTGGGGCGCTATACCCTCCTTATTCATCCGAGACTGATCGATGGCGTGAACCGGTACTGTGACTCGATGAGGGTCGGTGCGGTTGGGCGAGCAGGCAGTCTCGTCAGTAGTTGGCCCAACTTCTACTGACTGCTGGCGTTTCCCTGCGTCTGAGACTCCCTCCCCTGCTCTGCTCCGCGGCGCCTCAGCTCCTCTGGGCATTCGCTCTTGCGATGGCCCATCCGATTGCAAGCAAAGCAGCGCCCCCTAAACGGCGCGACAGCTGCATTCGTCGCAACGGCGCGTACGGTGGCGTGCTCGATCGGTCCCCGAGGGCGAAGTCCGTAGTAGGACCCCGGTCTCGGACGGCGCAAAATGTCGATTTTCTCAGCGAGCACGAGAATTTCGTTGAAATTCGAGAGTCCGCGTAGCATGATTTCGTGTGAGATGTCCGGCTTTAGCCCCCCGACGTAATGGTCCACCCGCTCCGCTTCGTGCATGTAGCCGACGTGCTCGCAAAATACGTGAAAACCGCTCGTATAGTCTTGAACCGACCCGAGCTGCCGCCAAGTACGCAGTCTCTGGCGCGCCGAAATAGAAGTCGCGATCGGCTCGAAGCGCGCTCGAAGCCCTGCGCACCACGCATCTCACGTGCTGTACTGGGCGGTTTCGCAAAATGAACTCCAGGTGACGGCTGGGCCCGTGGGCCCTTCCTCTTGCGACGGTGGCTCATAGGCGCGTGGCGACGTCACGATGTCTCGCACTAGTCCATGGCGGGGCCCCTCAGCAGCGAAACGGCGTATCGGATCTTCGCTGCGTCCGACTCGACGTAGTTCGCGTCGAAAAACACGTTCACCGTGAAGACCCACGACTGAACCGTCGGACCTCCATGCTGGCTCGGGTAAAAAAAGGGCGGGCGCTGCGGCTCGAGTGGCATTGGTGCCATGATTGCGTGGTCGCCACTCGTTGCTGTAAATTCCACGTGCCGACGGGCTTCGCGAGGCGACCCTGTTCCTCTCCATGCCATGCATTGATTGAGCGGCGCCATCACTGGCTGCGCCTGAGCGTTGTCCCACGCTGTCATTTTGTGTTGGTGTGCCTGATGAAATGACGATCGGTTCTTCCGATTGTGTAGGTGCATTTGCAGGTGCTTGTGGTGGTGCTGGAGCATTCACCGTGGACTGATGAGCGGAGTCGCGTTCCGCCGTGAGGGTCGCAATTTCGAGCGCCGAATCTTCGAGTTGGCGCACGAGGCGTTCGGGTTGCTCTTGCGTCAGTGTCTCGAGAGTGAATTCGGCCATGGCGGGGGTGTCGGGCAAGCTCAACGAGAGCCTCTGTCGTGGCCGTGCGTGCTTACGAGAGAGCACTTCGAGCGGCGGTGCTTGTTCGCTGAGAGACGTCTACCCCCCCCCAAAAAAATGAGATAGTGGGGAAGCGAAGGTGTGGGTGCGATCCGAGAAGAGATTGTAGGCTCTGATAGCCAAGTGTTACGAGTGCAATTGATTGATCGAGCGAGAATTGCACTATCGAAGCAAGAGTCCAATGAGCGAAGGACATGAGCGAAGAATATCTAGCGAAAGTATAGCGGTAACGGTAATGCGTGAAAATGGGGTGCGCGACGGGCCTGGTGTCGAGGTTGGGAAATCTCGAGGCGGATGTCCGGAGCGCGGGTTACCAATGGAACCGTGAGGTTGGGTCGCGTCGTGAACAGTGGCGGGAACAGTATCGAGGCGAATATCGCGAGTGGTAACGGGTTACTGTTGGGTGCTGTTGGCGGGAACAGTGGTGTACGCGCTGAGCAGGGACGCGAAGTAAGGAAAAGTAAGTTTTCTTACAACGTGCCATCCTATAGGGCTTATTTGTTTTTTCTTCAGTCCCCTAAATGTCACGCTAGAATCATGCGTGAGGTAACAAGCAATCAAGATTGGGATTCCCGAAAATCTCTACAATTTCTTTTGTGGTTTCAAATTAATCATTATCGTCTCATCAAATGACCAAACGTGATAGCTTTTCGGGGTGAGGTGTGACCATCCGTGATAGCACTGTGATCACCCATGATAGAAACATGTGAATTTACCTCTTGTACATATACTTGATTGTAAATGAAGTGATAGAAATCTACTGTATTGTGGCTGTTCGTGATACCCCTGTGACCAAACGTGATTAAACGGGCAAAATTATGACTGCCCGTATAATTTCCCAGCAAGTTTGCTGAGCCATGAACAATCAGGCCATTGGGATGATAGAATATAATCCTGCCACGGGAAGCACACTACGTTTACAGTACAGCGATGTGATGAGATGTGATGTGATCCGTCAATGTGGGACAGAGAGAACAATGAGTTATGCCATTTCTGTTTTCCGGACACCCTGCGTGTCGTAATACAAGGACCAGCCCATCTGACTCCCGAAACGATCTTCGTTGGGTAGGCACAATTATTCACCAGTCAGTACATCAAGCCTAGAGCAGGGCTAGAAAATGCTCTCCATTCACTCAAATCGCAGTCGATTTGAGACTCACGGGGTCAAGCGGGGCAGGGAAAAGGACGTGCAGCGCATGCTGGATATTTGAAGGGAACTATTGCTATGCGCTGTGTTTCATTGATCCCAGATGTGGGCTGAAACATCGTGCGCTGAGGCTGGGTCGAATTTCTTTGCTGGGGAAGTACTGGGAGAAAAGGAATGTGTAGGAGTTTCCTCGAAACAAACACCATAGGCGCGGCATGGTGGCTTGGCACCGGACCGGAGTGTAGTGTACAAGTCACTTCCGTTGGTGGGCTGAGCTGGCTGGCGTCAGTCATTCGTGAAATGGTTCCTTTTTTCATCGAAACGTCATGACCAGCGACTTTCCTTCCTCTCCTCAGTCAACAGCGCGGCAGCAACTTTTGATACTGGCACGTGCTGAGATTCTTCGTGGCCGTTGCAACCAAGGGGCCTGCTGCAACCCATCGTTTGGGAAGGTGGGAAGGAAGTTGCGTGACGGACACCCACAATCCCCCCCACTCCCACAGCAGATCACACGACTCGCATCGCATCGCATTCGCATAGCGTCGCCTCGCCGGCTACAAGTGAAAATCGCAACCAGACTGGCTGCAGCACCCGAAACCACGTTTGTCCTGAAACGCCCTCACTGGCCTTGCTTTCCTGAAGAATGTCGTCGGTGTATGAATTTCGTCACTCTTTTTGGCGTAGGGGCTGAACTTGAAACCACGAGAGACGTTCTCGGCAGCATTATATTTTGTACATTCTGGCTAGCCCTCACTGACAGTTTGCATGCGGTTTCTGCCACTAAATCACCGATACGCGAAAGTGCCACTTACCTGGGAAGGCCCAAAGAGATTCCGCGAATCAAATGCTTCAGTCAGCCTCGAATCGGATTCCTTCTTCAAGTGTGGGTTAGGCGTGGTTGACTGGTAACATATATCTGCGCGAACAAGCGAGAAGCTGAACGATGGAAATGTTTCCCACAATGCCCCACACAAGAGGGCTAGCGAAAACATCATGCGAGCGAAGACATGTGCGATACTAATCCACCAGGCCTCTTCGCATTCGCTCCCACAGTTTCCAAATCAGCCAACCACAGTCCGTCAGCAACCCATCAGTAAGGCCACTTGAGCCGCGCTATGGGACTACGTGAGCTAATCTACTTGCGAATAAAGTACCATCAATGCCGCTGCATTCACAACCAGCCAATCTGACGAAGTCTTCGTTCTCCACAATCAGTCACTATCTTGTCCCTTAGCGGTGCGCACTTCCCACCTCAGCAACCGCTTGTGAGGAGGACGTTCTCCACCCTTCAAGCCTTATCGCAATTTCTCTGCGAAACGAGTTGGGCGGCCTAGTCACGTGACATTTGGCGTCATCAGCCATAAACAACCCTCTCAGCACAAGTACAGCACGGTAGCCATGGCCACTCGCCATTCTAATCATCTATTCCGTTCTGACACCCTCAGCATTGGGTCGCTCAAAGCCCACTCAAACGAACATCAGCTAAGTCCGAAGCGCCTAGCAACGTCCTCACTGTTATCACCAGACGCGAAGCGCGAAGCAAAGGAGAAGATTAAGCGAGGCGAGATGGCCTTCGCGCCGCGCCATCATGGACACTCCATGAGCCACGACACGCTGGTCGTTCCCGCGGAAGCGCAAGGTGTCGCGGCGTCGTCTCCCCGCATGCTGGATGTGGCTCAAACCGTAACTGCTTCGGCGAGCCGTGACCCAGACACTGCGGCATCATGCGCCACGAACCACGAATGCGCCGCGTCAAGCTCCTCGCGGCTAGTTAACTGCGACCGGTTTTCCGCCCTACCGGACGACCTTCTCGTCGAAATTCTTTCGCGACTTGGCGGGTCCGCTGCTGATGTCAGCGTCGCATCAATGACGTGTCGCCGTTGGAGAGCTTTGGCGAGACAAGTTCCGAGCCTGAGCTTCGGCGGTGCGGCAGACTCGCAACAATCATCCACGCGCTTCGAGGAGTCCATTTCTCGGATGGTGCTTCGCTCGGAATCCCTCCGCCAACTTAAAATCGTGACGCCGCTTCCAGCATCTTCCCCTGCGCCGCGCGATTGCGCCGCATGCGGAAGCGTTTCCGCCTCCGCCATCCCGCCAGCCTGCCTCTGCTTCGAGGAGACGGCGCACGGCGCGCACGGAGCGACGGCGCAGGAAGGGGATTCCTCGGCGGCGAGCCATCCGCGGGAGTTCATCTTCGAGGCGTGGATGCGCCACGTGGGGCCGTCGCTGCGCTCGCTCACTCTCTCGCGCGCTGTTCCCGTTGCTTCGTCCACCAATTGCGGCGGCGACGGGAGCGTGGTGGTGAACCTGTGGGAGGAGGATGACGCGAGTCTGCATCTCGCGCACATTTCCCGCAACTGCACCAACCTGCGCTCGCTCTCATTAGGCCACGTGTCCCTCTCCGCGCCGACCCTGCTCGCCACTCTCCAGCCCATGCCGGCCCTGCAGCACCTCTCGCTCTCGTGGCTGCACGCGTGCCCCGCCGCGCTTCACGCTGTGCTTGACGCTGCTCCAAATCTCCGCCACCTCACGATTTTCATGGCGTCGGGGCTTCCGCGCCTGCATCTGCGCCTTCCGCAGTCCCTCCAGCACCTCTCGCTCTCCTACGTCCGCGCGGACTCCGTCGCGCTTCTCTCCGCGCGCTCCCTCCAATCTCTCTTTATCCGCGACATGTTTCTCCGCTCGCTCTCCATCCGCGACGCGCCCAACCTGCGCCAACTCTCCGTCGCCTCCGCCAACAGCCTGCTCGTTTCCGCGCCTCACTCCAGCCGGCTCGCGTCGATCGACCTCCGCGCGGGTTCGCTTAACTGGCCGGCCATCGAAACCCTAATTTCAACCAATGGGGCTGCGCTCGAGTCGCTCTCCCTCGACTTTTTTGCCACCACCAACGCATCTGGCCTGCCCTTGGTTTCGTCGCTGCCCTGGCTCGCTCGGAACTGCCCGGTGTTGAGAAGTTTGCGATTGGGTGCGCTGGCTTGGCAGAATATGGTTGACTCGGCTGCATTGTCCGGTCTTTTACTACCACAGAGGAATAACGACAATATGTGGCCTCGGCTGGAAGCACTTACAGTGAGAATTGCGGAGAAGGCACCCGAAGGCCTGCTTTTGCTTCATTCGATTCTTTCTAACATCCCCACACTGATGGGCCTGCACGTGACTGTAGAGGGAGGGGAGGACGAGGAGGAAGAGGAGGCAGAGGAGATGGAGTATGAAGGAGAATGCGATGCAATGAGCATGGACGAGGATGAGGAGGAAGATGAGGGAAACTACAATGCTGAGGAGTCCAGCAATTTGTCACATGCTTCTTCTGAAGCTTCTGCTTCACCTGGCATTTCAGGGGTGGCTGATGCTGCACTGGCCGAGCCCACTCAGCCTGTGGGTTACTGGCCTGCACTGACAGCAGCAGAGCGACAGCACCAGCTGTTTTTGAAGGGCCTGGACTGCCTCCAAAGGCGGTTTGGGTGCTTCCATGTTGCCTCCCCTATGCTTTACAGGCGGGAAACTGCCTGAGACCGAGGCAGGCTGCATGACCACTTAACAATATTGTATTAAGGCTTTTTAATTAGGGCATATACTTGGTTCATTTTTGTCAACAGTCCCTCCCTGTATGTTTAAAATTCTCTAGTGTTGGTGACAAGTTGACCATCCCTAACCACGAGGAACATGGGCTGTCAGCAGTTCTGAATCCTTTGGCTCCCTGGCCACGAAACATGATGCAAAACTCTACAAAGCAACAACCAACGGAATCTCCCTATTCCCTCTGGATATCCTTTTTACGAATCCTCACGGCTCTCCGGAAAGCGACCCAGTCCATTGTTTGATCTTCCCCCACGTTGCGACCTTCATCGCCTCCCTCTACATGACTTCCAGTAATAAAGATCTCAAGCCATACTTGAAAAGCTGCATCCCTTTCAGCTTCTGTCTTGGAATGCCCGGAATATGACCGCGGCTGCATAGTCAGGTCCGGTGACAATTGAACTACCGTAATACCCCGGATATAAGCGCACCTGCGCTTATAATAAAACAGTGTTTTTTGGGGGGGTGCGCTTATAATTGAGTCAGATTTATAAGCGCATGCGCTAATAAAATGACAATTACAAATTTATAATTCATTAGCACCAAACTGTACATCTCCTTCTTGCGATTTCAATCGAATCGAAGTGGTAGCGAGTCACAATTCAGATTCGCGCGTGAGCGATTTTCTGCCGGCGCACAGGGGCAAATTTACACGTCACTATCAGAAATGCCAGCTCATACTGACTGGACGCGCAGTATGTGAGGTCCTCGAAAGTCAATCGAAGCGAAAATGGTTGTATCCTCACTGCAAATTTTGAAATCGCTACCGTTTTAATCTGGTTTAAATTTTGAAATTATACATGCGCTTATAATAAATCAAGGTTTTACAGGGGGTGCGCTTATAAATGAGGATCGGCCATAAGCGCATTGCTCCAGATACAAGCGCATGCGCTTATAATAGGCCTGCGCTTATATCCGGGGCCATACGGCATGGTCGAGAGAAGACCAGTAGGAGCTTCATTGGTGAAATATTTCGGGGTGCTCAGCAACATGCGCTCGCAATCGACCTGGAGGATACTCTTGGCGATAGGCCTCGCGAGTTCTTCAGCTACTTTGGCAACAGTCGTCCCGTCTATTGAGAGATTTTCGTCACAGCAAGAGGCCTTTCCGGTAATCGCGTTGCGAAACGCGGCTCGGTTCGCGAGCTCTCGTGCACGACTCTGCTTTAATGTAGCCACAGTCTGATGTTTATAGGGATTACGCGGACGAAAATCATCGAATGCTAATACCGGTAGATTCTGCAGCGACTCGACCATGCCACTGTATAATTTGCCACCAAACTCGATCTCGTGATCCCACACCAGACAGTGGGGTGGGGAGTGTTGGGCTGAGAAAGCCCTTAGGATCTTAACAAGGGTGAATTCAGGGTAGGGCTGATGTAGTAGCGGAAGCGTTTAATGAAGAGTTGTGAACCACCTTGCACTAGTATGTGAGGGCAAAGTCGATTGATTAAAGCAAAGAGATACAAGACTAGGATGTCAGATTATAATGCATGTCTAGTCTGTAGTGGGGTACTCAAAAGTGAGTATAACCCTTTTAGGGCTTACTACTTGTATCCCCCTCCTTTCTAGTTTCACCATTCTCCTTCCACAATTCTCTCGACATTTTCCTTACACCCTACACCCTCGAACTTAACTACCAAGGCTCCTAAACTATGGCTCCTAAGCCAAACTCACGCTAGTACTTTAATATGGTATCAGAGGAAGAGCGGTGGCGGGGGGAGGGACGGAGTGCGGTAGGGGAAGAGGCGGTAGTAGGGGACCGACTCGTCAAACGTGACGTCCTGGGAGGACAGAACACGGCGCGAGGTGGGGTGGTAGAACTGCCACCCTGGCGCGTCAGGGGGGAAGCCAAGGAAGACGCAACGAGCAGCACGAGGGGACAGCTTGTCCGCAGACAAGTCGCGGACAAACGCCCGAGATCCCCAGACACGGAACGCAGACGCATCGCCAACCTTCCCCGTCCACAGCAAAGCTGGGGAGGTCTCCGGCATGGAGACCCTGGGGTGAAGGTTGATCTGATGCGCCGCGTACCGAACCGCAAACGGCCACAGAAAATGGGGGGCAGCCGCATGCATCATGGACGTATGGGCGACGTCCATGACCATGCCAATGCGGCGCTCAGCAATCCCATTTTGCTGTGGAGAGTCCGGAAGCGTGAAGGTCTGGCGGATGCCTCGTGCACGACAGTAGGCTCGCAGAAGGCCAGAGGAGAACTCTCCACCTCTGTCAGAGTGCAGACGCTGAACAGGAAAGTCCGAGCCGAAGCTCTGCCTGAGCTGGAGACGAGCTGCGCGGATCCAGGCGATCAACACCTCAGTGACATCACCCTTGCTGCGCAAGGGGAAGACTGTGGTGTAACGCGAGTAGTCGTCAACCACCAGCAGGAAGTAGCGCTCGTGACCCTGTCCACGGACGCGGGCCGGGCCCCACACGTCCATGTGAAGCGTCTGCAGCGGGGCCTCTGTCGGAGGAAACTGGGAGGAGTGAGGGGCAGCCCGCTGCCGCCCCTCGACACAGGGGACGCAGGTAGGGCCAGGCCCCGGAGGAAGGGGAGGGAGGGACCGGGGAAGACCAGAGACAAGGACACGGGAGGCCATGCTTCGGAGACGAAGCAGGGAGGGGTGACCAAGGCGGTGGTGCCAGAGGAGAGTCTCGTGAGACAGGAGGCGACACGAACAGGGGGCAGACTCAGGACCAGACCTGGACGCTGCAGCAAACACCTGACCCGACGCAGCTACCTGACCAGACGCAGTGACTGGAGGAGACGCAGTGGTCAGGGTGTACAGGCTCGACCCCGGCCGACGGGTAAACGTGGCCAGGTGTCGGCCTGTCCGAGCGTCCGTGCAGTGGGTCACCCGCCGACTCGCAGGAGTGAACTGGTGAACCCCCGCATCCTGTAGGTCACCACCACTCACCAAGTTCGTAGAGAACGAGGGAAGGTAAAGACCAGACAGGGTGCCAGAGGGGGCCGCCGGACACGGGAGGACAGTGGAGAAGTGAGCAAGGACAGGACCCCCAGAGGGGTCTGCCAGAGAGACTGCAACTGGCCGGCTAAGCGGCGTGAGTGTGGTGCGGTCTCGAAAGAAGGAGCGAGAAGCCCCCGAGTCAAGGGTGAAGGTGTGGGAGGCCGAAGCCGACGCAGAACCTGAGAGAGCAGACTCACCAGCACCTGAGGGAGCAGACGCACCTAGAGCAGCAGCCTCGCTAGCACCTAGAGCAGCAGCCTCACCAGTACCTAGAGCAGCAGTCTCAATGCCTGGGTCGGGCGGAAAACACCGGTAACAGTCACCCTCATCACTAATAGTCACAGTATACATGGCAGCAAGAATAGCATCAAAGTCAAGGTCAAAGACAGCCACACCCGCCCTAGACAGCTCACCCCAGCGGGGGATCTCAGTGGCCTCAGGAAACTGGTGACGCCAAGCGTCCGTCAGGCGGCCAAAGCAGCGCTGGGTGGAGTGCGCACCCCCGCACTGCTCACCCGCGCGGTCGCCGGTGCGGAGGACGTAGGTGCACGGACCAGTACCCCCACCCCTCTGGCGTAGCACTCCCAGGCTCAGCACCCCCAGGCTCAGCACCCCCAGTAGTAGCACCCCCAGGCTCAGCACCCTCAGGCTCAGCACCCCCAGTAGTAGCACCCTCAGGCTCAGCACCCCCAGGCGTAGCACCCACACGCTCAGCACCCCCAGAGTCAGCACCCCCAGGCTCAGCACCCTCAGCAGCACCAGAGTCACCAGTAACCTCGACAGGCTCGACTGCGTCTACCTGGGACACACCTGAAGGGGCAGGACCCTGAGGGGGGAGGGGGTCTACCGGGGTGGGACCTGGGACAAGGAAGAGCGGTTTAGGGAATATGAAGAGATACAGTTATAACTACTTTACTGTTGCTGTTGCGGTTCGATACAATGACGACTCGGGCAACTGCTCTGTAACGAGTCAGTTGTGTGTCCTTGCTGTCGCGCTGTACTTGTCAGGTCAAAGGTCGCTGACCTTTTACTTTCGCGTAACCTTCAGCAACTGCTCAACCTCCGAGGGTTGACTCGCCAGTGCTTCGATATGCTTTGCTTCGCTTCTGACTTGGTGTTTCGACACGACAGAGGCGCTTAGAGTTAATTGTTTCCAACACTCCCCTTCGCTTCTGGAGTGTCGCTGCTGGTGACGTGGCTTTGTCCAGTCAGCAGCATGCAGTACTCGAACTTCTGTTTCCCGAGCTTCTTGGTCAAGTAGTCAGCTGCCATCTCGGATGTGGGGCAGTATGACAGCTCGAGTCTTCCTTTCTCGATCTCGTCCTTCACGAAGAAATATCGCAGGGCGATGTGTTTCGTCCTGTTCGCGAAGCCGTTCTTGTTGGCGATGCGAATTGCCGACTGGTTGTCGCAAAACCGAGTGAAGTTGGGTAACTGGGCCAATTTTGCTTCTTCCAGCAGTTCGCGAAGATAGAGTCCTTCCTTGGTGGCTGAGCAGAGTGCGATGTATTCTGCTTCGGCTGAGGAGAGAGTAATTAGTTCTTGCTTGCTCGACTGCCACGAGATAGGACCGATAGGTTCAAAGCGGTAGATGTAGCCGGTGCGTGAGCGTCTGTTGTCGGAGTCGCCAGCGTGATCGGCGTCGACGTAGCCGATTAGTTTAGGCGCTGTAGCCGTGTTCTTATGGTAGGTCAGGCCGATTGTCGGGGTACTAACGAGGTAGTGAAGAGCGCGGTCGAGCTCCACCAGATGTTAAGCTTCAGGTTTCTTGAGATAGGTGGCGAGCTGGCTTGCAGAGTACGATAGGTTCGGGCGGCAGGTCAGAGCTGCGAAGAGGAGGCATCCCAGCTTCCTCTGGTAGTCGCGTATGCCGGCGGGCTTGAGTAGAGCGGAGCCTTCCTTGTGGTTTCCTGCCGTGTAGCGGTATGGCGTGGAGATGACGGTCGGTGTGAGTGCGAAGCGCTTGGCGATGGTATCGGCGTATTTCGCGGCGC